TTCTTCTTCTTCTTCTTCTTCTTCTTCTTCTCCTCCTCCTCCTCCTCCTCCTCCTCCTCCTCCTCCTCCTCCTCCTTCTTTTGTTTTTGGTTTTGTTTGTTTGTTTGTTTGTTTTTCAAGACAGGGTTTCTCTGTGTAGTTTTGGTGCCTGTCTTGGAACTCACTCTGTAGACCAGGCTGGCCTCGAACTCACAGAGATCGGCCTGGCTCTGCCTTCTGAGTGCTGGGATTAAAGGTGTGGGCCACCATCACCCAGCTCTGAAACCTCTTCTACACAGGTCTTTAACTTTTTACTCTGCTTCTGTGGCAAAAATATCCATTCTAAAATATTATCTTCTCTCTGCATAAGAATTCCTGTGGGTGAATGCATAGAAGGTAAAATAACCAGAATACAATCAAGCTCTGGATCCAAACAATCCACATATGCATCCTGTAATTTCTTTTCTACCAAAGCTAATTCTCTCTCAGCCTCAGATGATAATTTTCTTGGCTGTTTTAAGTCTGTATCACCTGGTAAGTTTTGAAATAAATTACTTAGTTCATGAGTTGTTAATTCAATTGCGGGCCATAGCCAGTTAATGTCTCCCAGCAATTTTTGAAAATCATTTAGAGTTTGTAATTGATCTCTCCTGATTTGAACTTTTTGTGGTTCAATTTTTTTTGTAAATTTATCTTATATTCTAGGTAATTAAAAGACTCTCATCTTTGTATTTATTTCAGGAGCAATTTGTAGTCCACAACAAGGCAAAATTCTTCTTTACTTCTTCAAACATTTTTCTCTAAGGTATCTGCATCAGAATCAGCTAGTAAGGCATCATCCATATAATGGTAAATTATAGATTGAGGAAACTCTAGGAATTGTTTCCAATGGCTGTTGTAGAAAATATTGACACAAGGTGTGGCTGTTTAGCATCCCTTGTGGAAGAACTACCTGAATGCCAGGGCTGGAGATGAGGGTTGATTCAGGCAGCTTTAGGGCCGGGGGTGGGAGGGTGGCTGTGACTGCACTTTTGGGGGCCTCAGGGTGCACAGCTGGGATGATTGCAATGAGAAGAAGCCCCTGATGGGACAAGCCAGTGACCCCTGGTGGCAGGGAAGTTGAGACTTTAAAAGCTACCACATGATTTCACCCCATGTTGAATGCTAGATATTGTGGCTTCTTTTAATGTTTTATTATTCAATAAAGCTTGGAAGTCAAATATGATAGAATAAACCTATAGGTAAAGACCACTTCACCCTCTTCTCCACCTCTCCACTTGAAAAGCCCACACATCTTTTTAGCCCCTTCTTATTCTCTGTGTCTTTCTGTCTCTTCTGAGTTGGCCAGAAAACTCTATGGTTTACTTCACAGGCGATTCCCGAGTGAAAACACAAACAAATCTCCCTCAGCAGTAACATTCAACAGATATTTGTCAGAACGAGTGCTCAAGTAAACTAATAAATGGATGAATAGTTTATACATTTTTTGTCATTAAATCCTATGAAGCCTTTCCAAGAGAACAAGATGCAGAAGTCACAAACAGAATAAATAGCTTTCATATTTTAAAAATATTTTCCTCAGGCTTGAGAAATGACGAGTGGGGAAAGGTGCCTGCCACCCAGCCTGGGTGACCTGAGACCGGTCCCCAGGACCCATGGTTGGAGGAGGGAAACAGCCCCTGAAAGTTGTCCTCTGAGCTCCACATGCGTGCCACGGTATAGCCATCTTCTTTTGTTTTTAGACTAGATGATTATAAATCTCCACAGGGGTGATACAGCTCAGTGATAGAGTATTTGTCTGGTATTTGTGAGACTCTGTGTGCATCTCCAGCACAGGAAGGGGGTAATCCACCATCCCATATTGTACTGCCAGAAGTGGATGAGGGACAAACCTTGAATTTAATGATGTTTCAAACATCTAGAAACAAAACAAAAAAGAACACATGAAAGGAGTCCATGTATGGACTAGCGCAGTTGGAGAATGTTTCTATTTTGAGACATTAGAGGTTGCGAATATAACTAAGAAGGAGTTGATGAATTCATGAAAGCTTATCTCAGAGTCAGTCACCTCAGATTCTTCAGGGGTTACACACTGAGGACTCCATGTTGACTCATAGGCTGTGGAGACTGTGGATATAGCCTATTTCCTGTGGCTTTACGTTTCTTCAGAGAATGTCTTGTAAGCACCCACCATACACTGGGCCATTTCCTATAGAGAAGAAATGCTTACTGAGTTCTCATTTTTTTTCTGGACATTGCTTCTGGGACCAAGAACATAGTAGTAAATAAGACAGTAACCCAGCTTTCAAGAATCCCAAGAATACAGACAGAAGCATATAAGTGAAGAGATAAATTGCATTTTATCAAGTTAAGCTTCGTAACATATGACCAAAGTCCTTTATGACCTCAAAAATTCTAGTCTCTAAAGGTCTAAGTATTAGAGACAAGAAAATCTGGCAAGCAAATAAATGCATAATCCGTACCTGGTAGAAGGTGCTATTGAGATTGGGGGATCAAAGCTATATGTTATTTGGACTATTATAAAATCTGGAAAGTTAAAAAAATTCAAATTGGGGCAAAGAGATGGCTCAGCAGTCAAGATGCTTGCTGCTCTTTCAGAGGACCCCCAGCATCCATGTCAGGGGGCTTCACACTACCTGTATCAGGAGCTCCCAGGGGATCTGGTGCCCTCTTTTGGCCTCCTTGAGTATCTGCATGCATATGCACATAGATACACACAGGCAAACACACATGCTCATCAATAAAAATAAGGGGGCTTCTGACCTCTGTGGGCGTGGGACACACCTGTAGTGCACACACATAAATGCAGGCCAATTACTCAGACACAAAATAATAAATCTTAAACAAAATCTTAAAAAATCAGATTGGTAAAAGGTGCATTTCTAATTTTTCAGCCCCTCTTTGCCAGCTGTATTTGAGAACGCCCCATGTGCTCAGAAAATACAGGTGGGCAGGTGGGTAGATGTGTGGATGCATGGTTGGCTGGATTTAAAAATAAGCAAAAGAATGAATTATTTATTTGTACAACAGGTCAGACTCCTTTAGTAAATGTTTTTGAGGAATAGAAATAGAATAGAAATCTTTGAAGGCTCACTAGAACCAAATTTATCAGGTAGCCATTTCTGATATCTCTTTGCAGAAAAGTCCTGGAGGCTGTCTTGAGCCGATAAAAAAGTAGAGCATTTTTAAGTTTCTGAAATTATTGCTGTGGACTTTAAATATGCATGTCCAGAAAACCCGAAGTACAGCTCTGTGGAATTCTAAGCTGCAGGTCAAAGGTCATATGGACTATGTACTGATTTTAGCAGCGTACACTGATAAAGGCAGCCTTACTGGAGTGCTTTCCTTTTATCTTTATGCTGGAACGAACATATTTCATCCCACACATTGCTAAGGAGGGCTGTCTCTGGAGAGTCTCAATATCATGGGTAGGGCCTGGCATTCTTGGTACCACTGTTAATGATTTGGTTTGTGGAAAGCATAGATTCTGAAAGAATCTTTGACCGGGAATCTGGACATTGTTGGACATATTTTCCTTATGAGAAGTTTAATCTTGAGTCCATCGGGATTCACGAGAAACAGTTCTGCATCTTCTTCCTGTTGCTTGCCTCCCATGTACTCATGCCTGGCCCCCATCTCCCATCCTCCTTCTCATCACAAACTGTACCAAAAGACCACAGAGTAGTACTTCACAGTGCAGGAGGTCAACTTCAAGTTCAGTTGTTTGAGCTGGAAACACAGTTCAGTTTGTAGAGCGCTTGCCTAGCATATGCAAAGCTCTGGGTTTGAACCCTTTTGTGGCATAAGCTGGGCATAGTGGCATATTCTGGTAATCCCCAGATTTGGAAGTAGAGCCAGGACAACCAGCAGTTCAATGCAACGTCATCCTGAGCCACATAATGAGTTCAAGGCCAACTTGTCTAGGCTACATTAGACCCGGTCTCATTCATATATATATATGTGTGTGTGTGTGTGTGTGTGTGTGTGTGTGTGTGTGTATGTATACATATACATATATATACTTATATGATTGTATATGTGTGTTTATGTATCTTCATACTAACAATCTATCAAGTGCTCTAAAGCCACATGTGTCTATCAACAATCATGACAGACATCACAGAACAATATCCTTATAGAAGGGTCTATTGTCCTAGATAAAAGTCAAAGCAAGAGATGGGGGTGATGGTAGTTCTGAGAAAATGCTGAGAACATGTAGACCATCCAGATAGAGAGGAGAAACATTCTAGCAGGAAGTTGCCACAGAACACACAACTGAGCAACAAAGGATGAGTTTTGGAGTAGAACTCGAGTTTAATTTTGGTTCTCCCACTCACATAGTTTGTGGTCTTGAGGAGGCATGTGAACTCTGCACATCTCAATCTTTTCATCAGGAAAATGGTGATGAGAGTAATTCCTGTGCCACAGGATTGATGTCAGGATGAATCAGACAATTGTGTAATTTCTTAGCAACCTTCCTGGCATACAAACAAAGGTCAGAGTAGCGAGTGGGGGATGGGAAGGGATGAAGCTGTGGAAAAAGAGAGGGAAGAAGCTAGATATGAGACCACTAGCCTGGGAAGAAGGCATGTCTAGAGGGTAAGTGGACTTGAGCAGTGAGTGCTATCCTGATGGCCAGAGGGCAAGCAGCAGGACAGGGGACCAGGAGTCCAGACCCCCGAGGAGGGCAAGTCTCTGGCCTCGGGCCTAGAGAAGCTGTGCCTATGGTCAATAACACAGAACCCACCCACCCACTGTGGCCCCAAGAATTAATTGTGCATTAATTAGAGTTTAGGCACCCTAGGTAGGTCAGATCAAGGTCAAGATGATACAGGACCTTAGGGTAAAGGAAAAGCAATGACCTATATGTGTTTAACGCAGCACATGCAACCACACAGCAGCCCTTCAGAAGCACTCGGTGGTCACCCACAGTTTGTGTGGGCGAAGTAATTGTCCTCATCAGGCAAAGGAGCTTGCCCGTGGTCTATAATAGAAGTAAGATTATACCTCTTGAAAATCGGTCTCAAGAGACCTTATGCCCTTCCATTCCTTGGAACTCTTGGAACTCTCTAGCTGCCAGGTGGACACACCCAGGCTCTCTGCCCAGATGGAGAAAGATGCAAGGGCTGTTCACTTCCTTTGCTTTGACCAACCATCAGCCGCCTGCCGGAGAAATAAAGGAAGTGATCTTAGACCCGTCAGTCCCATCTTACCTAAGAGTGATGCCAGATGCATGAGTTAGCACAGCCTAATCAGCGGAGCCTGCTCCAGGTCAGGAGAACTCCAGCTCACCCGCAGATGCATGGAAATAATAGATGGATGCTTTTTTTGCCCCCCCTTTTTTTTGAGCCACTAAGTTTCCATTGGTATGTTTTCCAGCCAAAGCTAACAGACATGTGAGTAGCACAAACATTGCTTCCTGAGAATCTTAATGGTCTAGTGGAGAAGACCAGCTTTCATCAGAAAACCCCAGAAACATATAATAAGGAAAAGGAATTGATAATGAACCCAGCCTTAAGATGGCCCCCAGGGATCTGCACCTCCTTCTACACGCACTGCGTGACCTCTTCTCCCACCCCGTGTGGGGTTTAGTTTTTGCGGCATACGACAGAAGGGGTGTGCTATTTCTGAGAGGAGATTACAAGAGACTGGTGCTGCCAACTCTTGCCTTTGTCAGCATCAACATCTGCATCCATTCATTCAGGGAGAAGCCAGATCTGCAGCTGAGGATGCTCAGGCAGACCACTGAGAGCCATGCAGCAAGGATCTGAGGTCTCCACCATCAGGCTGAGTCAACTCCCTGAAGTCTACCACCACCCATTCGAGGGAGGTTGGAGAGAGAGCCTTTCGCTCCAAATGCCTGAAGCCTGGCTGGCAGCATGGATGTGGCCTCCTATGAGACCTTGAACTGAAACCACCTAGTTAAGCTGTTCCCAGACTCTTAACCCAAAGGAAATGTGAGAGAACAGTGTCTTTGTTTTAAGTGGTTATGTTTGGACCAGATAACTCACAAACAGGCAAAGGGCGTGGAAAGGGGTGGAGTGTTCCATGCAGAAGGAACAGCTAGAGCAAAGGTACTCAGAAGGAGCGGGTGATAGCATGAGAGAACCATGTGCCAGGAGCTCAGAGGACAAACAGTACCACATGAGGCTGAGCGCTCAAAGGGCACCAGGCCTGATAGGTGTGGCCTCGTACGTGTTATTAAGAAGTTTGTATTCGGGAATAAGAACAGCAGATAATTAAGGGTCCAGCATGGAGAGAAGGATCTGAGGATGCTCTGCTTCTCAGTCTAGTGAAGAGAGGAGAGCAGAGCCCAGTTCCAGACAGAATTGTTCCCTTTTGGCCTTACTCATAGGTTGTAATAGGAGAGGGACGGCTGTCCTCAGTGGAGACCGACCGTTCTCCTCCCCCTGTGGTGCACATCTGGGGGCCTGGAAGCAGCAATGCGTGGACATCAAAGAAAGGAAACCATAAAGAAAGCATGAGCAGGAGATAAGGACAGAGGAGCTGGCAAGAAAACAGACAATGGGTGAAGGAAGAAAGAGACGCAGGGGAGTTGGGGGTGGCCAGGATGGAGAATGAGCAAGGAGCAGGTGCATGCGGAAGCCTAGAGAGACTGTGAAATGGTCACTTGAAGAACATTGGAGACAGAGAAATGAGGATCTTGGAGACACTGGAGATCTAAAAACCTGAGAACAAGAATCACAAAACAGCAGGTGTATCTCAGTTAGGGTTTCTATTGCTGTGACAAAACACCATGGTCGAAAAGCAAGTTGGGGAGGAAAGGGTTTATTTGGCTTACACTTCAGCATTGCTGTCCATCGCTGAAGAAGTCAGGACAGGAACTCACACAGGGCAGGATCTTGGAGGCAGGAGTTGATGCAGAGACCATGGAGGGGAGCCACTTACTGGCTTGCTTCCATGGCTCGCTCAGCCCACTTTCTTACAGAACCCAGGACCAGCAGCTCAGGGATGGCACCACCCACCATGGCTGGGCCCTCTCTCATTGATCACTAACTGAAAAAAATGCCTTATAGCAGGATCTCATCGAGGCATTTCCTCAACCGAGGCTCCTTCCTCTGATGGCTCTAGCTTGTGTTAAGGTGACACACAAAAGCAGCCAGGACAAAGTGTTAAGAGTCCAAGGGCACACAGTAGGGAAGCAGCCCCCAACTGCAGCAGGCACACCCTGGGAACCTGCCAGCCAGCCTGCCAGAGAAGCAAGTAGGCCGGTGAAACAGATCAGTGCCTTGCTCGGCCACCATCAGAGATGGGTACAAACGTCGAGACTCACAGCCAGACAATATGCATTGAGAGACCTAGGAACACTCAGCCCTACACGAGATGTCGCCATCAGATCCCTCCTCTCAGGGCTCAAGGAAGACAAGGCAGAAAGAATAAGAGCCAGAGGGGGTGGGACAAGGACCAAGGCCCTCTAAACACAGCAGGACGGATGCACATCTGAACTCTCAGAGGCTGAGGCAGCATGCACAGGGCCTGCATGGGTCTGCACCAGATGGGGTCCTAGAGCTGAAAGGGAAAGTGAAGACATGTCCCATCCTTAACTCCCAACCTGTCTCCAACTGATAACCACTTGCGAATTTCTTCTTCTCCAAGGGAATCTTACGGGGGAACCTACTCTCAAGGGTAGCCCGCATGTCAGCAGCAGATGGCCAACAGAAAGCAAACTCAACGTCATCTTGTCTCATAATGTCGCATCAGGCCCTTTTATTTTAATTTAATTTTACAACGGTCTATCTTACAGGTTTTCCATATACATTATGGCTCCTGGTTTTGTATTTTTGTGGAGTTACCGAGTGTGAGAATGAGTGAGTCTGCATCTGTAGCTGTTTCTTGTGCCTTTCCTTGGGCTCTTTTCCTTGTTTGCTTTGTCCTGTTTTAATTGTTTGGTTTTGTCTTTTTGTATTGGTCAGGATCCTCTAGAGGAAAAGAGTGACCACATATGGGCTTTATTACAAGGGCTGACAGGCTGTGGTCCTGCTAGTCCAACAATGACTGTTAGCAATGGAAGGTCCAAGAATCCAATAGTTGTTCAGTCCACGAAGCTGGATGTCTCAGATAGTCTTCAGTTTAAACCAGAATTCCAAAGGAGTGGGCTCTAATGCCAATGAAGGAATGGACTTGCCAGAGAGACCCAGTTTCTTTCTCCCATGTCGTTTATGTAGGCTGCCACCAGAAGGTATGACCCGGATTAAAGGTGGATCCTCTCACCTCAAAAGATCTGGATTAAAAGTGGGTCTTCCCACTTCAAATGATTTAATTAAGAAAAACCCTTCAGAGGTGTACCCAGACACTTGGGTTTTAGTTAGTTCCAGAGGTAGTCAAGCTAACAACCAAAAATGGCCATCACACTCATGGAATCTTACTTTGTTATTATCCCTTAGATGCCTGTTTGTTTTCTAGAGAGAGAGGCAGAAAGGGGGTGGTTCTGGATGGAGGAGAGATAGGAAGGAAATCGGGGGAGTAAAGGGAGGGGAAACCATAATCAAAATATATTGCATGAAAAAAACACCCTATTTTCAATAAAAGAAGAAAAAGTTTGTGGGGTGGGGTAGTCATTGCTGTATTTTGGATAAGTGTTCCTTGGAGTTCTGCGTGTTGAGTTTGGTCTTCAATCAAGGTATGTCGTATGAAAGTCTCAAATAATTAGTGAAAGTGTTATAACTTTTTAGAAAAAAGTTTGGTCCCCAGCTGGACACTATTGGGAGATGGTGACACAGTAGGTGAGACCCTCTCCCCCCCGGGCGTTCTTTCTGTCACCAGGGACTTGCTCTTGGACGGACTGTGAGACTCTGGGGCTCTGGTTTCTTTCTCTGTCCTTTTGCTTCCTGGCTGTGGGGTGAGTGACTGCGTTCTACCTTCTATTTCCACTACAGAGTGCTGCCACAAAGCTAAAACAATAATGCCAACCAACCCATGGGTCAACATCTCTGATACGGATCACCAGAATTCACCTCATCTCCGGCGTTTGTGATCGAGGTGGAGAACTAGTCCAGTCACTTGGTTGGAAAATAGAAAGGCTGAAAACAAGCAGTAAGTGGGGTTGGAGGAGCATTGAGGTCAGAACTGGACAGCACTCATAACTCTTGGGACTGAATGGTCTCTGTGCGCCAGGCCTGATGCTCACAAGCCACCACGGAGGCCACTCTGAGCTTGCAGCCTTAGGGACTTCTCAGTCATGACAGTGAGCCTTGGGGAGGAATGGTGGGGTTGACGGGGCAGGATGCTGGGGAGGTGCTGGGCTTGGGGAAATGCTCAGCAGGGTCTCTGAGTTCGCGGATCACTCTGGAGGAAGACACGGCCTCCCCTGCTAGTGTTCCAGACCCCAAGTGCTGAGTTCTCGGGGTCCCTTCTCAGGGGTGTCCTTCAAGGTCTCTAAGGGAAGAGACAAAGAGAGGTGGGGGATGCAGCAGGAGAGAGACTTCTCCAGCCCCAGCTGTGCCGGGACAATCGTGCTCGCCAGACTTTCCAGGGCCGCGGCCTCCAGCAGGTGCAAAGGCAGAAGGAAAAGGCCACTTGATTGGGAAAGCCTGCTCTTGGTCAGCCTCACTTGGTTCTTAACTTCCCACCCCCCAATCCCTATCCCACGGGGAAAGCACGTACTGCTTCCTGAATCTGGAGACACTTAGACTGCTATCAGTTAAGTTGGTCTAACTTTCCTTTTCTATTTAAAAAGTATCTAAAGTAGGCCGGGCGGTGGTGGCGCACGCCTTTAATCCCAGCACTTGGGAGGCAGAGGCAGGCGGATCTTTGTGAGTTCGAGGCCAGCCTGGGCTACCAAGTGAGTTCCAGGAAAGGTGCAAAGCTACACAGAGAAACCCTGTCTCGAAAAAACCAAAAAAAAAAAAGTATCTAAAGCTATGAGTATGTCTCCCCCTGACCCCTGCCACCCCCAAACCATATGAAAAGCAAAGGAAACACAGAATCGAGTAGGTTTACTCATTTTGGGACTTGATTATAGGAAGATAATTTATATATAACTCCTTTTCTTAAAACTGCATTACTTATTTAAAGTGGATATGTGAGTTAGTTACACAATGAACCATCAAGGAAAAAGATTCTCCTGTGATGTCACAGGAGAAGTGAAACCCTGGTCATAATAGAGGAGAATCAGGCTGATCGGATGGAAGAGTTTCTTTCATCTATGTTCCCATAAATTAGAAATAGAAAAATTTAAGACAACACAAAAGGATTTGCGTCAAACAGCCTTCCCTTTTCTCTAGTCCAGAAAATAACTCCTTCTTCCTTCGTCCTTGAAAAAGGAAGGCGGGAAGGGTTGACTGTTGAATCCATTAGTCTTAATTCAATGACACAATTCAAGACGTCCACACGCAGGATGCTTCCTTCCACTTTCTGTTACTACCTCTGAATACCCTGAGGGCCAGCAATTTACAAAGAATGGAGGCTCCCTTGTCTCACAGCTCTGAAGGTGGGAGGTGTAAGAGCCTGAGGCCACACCTTCTTGCTGTGCCATGACAGGGCAGGAGGCATCCCGTGGTGGGAGGCCAAGTGTGCTGGCACAGGTCTCTCTTCCTCTTCTTCTGAAGTCCCTGATGCCATCGCACAAGTCCTGTCCCTCATGAATGTATCTGATACTAACTACGCTCACAGACCCCTTATCCAAATACCCTTAACAAACAGGCTTAACTTCCCAAGCCCGTGTTTGGGTGGACACCTTCAAACCATAGCACGCGGTGAGCGATTCTGAGAGCGACAGCTCCCATGTTCGGGGAGCCGCTGGCAACCCCCTGTGTAGACCACACCCCCACCCCACTGAAGCGTGAGGGAGCCATTTTCAGAAAGAGTTCAGAACTTAGCATTTGCTCAAAACCACTTCCTGGCCGGGCAGACTCCTTGGTCGCACTTCCCTGCTGGGTACGCTTTGAACAGACCACAGACTGGGAGGAACCAGAGGGAAAGACAGGCAATGTGACAGAGAGCAGTGTGGCCCTTGAACACTGGAGGTCACATGAAGGGTCATTCGGCCCACTTCACAGGCCCGGGCTCACCACTGGTGCCCGAGTGTTACCAGGCGTTCTATTTCGGCCTCTGTAGACCCCTTGTTCTTTTCTCTGTGGCATGAACCGCATGTCATGACGAGAAATAACTCTCTCATCACGGCCCACCCCCTAC